CCGGCTTCCTTTCCAATCAGGAAGCCGGGCAGTGGGTTATGACCTGCCTCCCGGCTTCCCGATTGGCTAGGAAGTTGGCTTCACGTGTTGCTAGGCAGCCTGGCTTCATAACCAATCAGGAAGCTGGTGCGGTACGTAATAACCCGCCTCCTGGCTTCCTGATGGTCAGGAAGCCAGGCTGCCTAGGAACAAGTGAAGGCGGCTCCCTAGCCAATCAGGAAGCCGGGAGGGGGGTCATGATGTGCAGCACGACTTCCTGATTGGCTAGGAAGCCAGCGTCACTTGTTGGTAAGCAGCCTGGCTTTCTAACCAATCAGGAAGCAGGGCGGAATGTCATGACTTGCGTCCCGGCTTCCTGGTTGGTCAAGAAGCCTTCCTGCCTAGAAACAAGAGAAGCCGGCTTCCTAGCCAATCAGCTCCATTCACACCTAGGAGACACCTATTACGCATGTTTCATGTGCATCTTTTTGCACGTATATTAACCTCCCTGGGGGTCTGATCGGGAATACCGCCAAGGAGGTTAAGTCACAATTATTTTGAGTTTTGCAAGCGTTCTCTATTGAGTCTATGGGACAAAATGTGCTGAAATCGGCCCCAAAGTAGCTCATATACTATTTTGATCAACAGTCGTATTTCTGCTTGCAACAAAACTCACAGGTGTGAACCCGGGGCCATAGAAATGAATGGGATTCCTTGGGTGGAGCATTTTACACGCTGAATCAGCTGCGACAATACGCTTAGGTTTGAATGGAGCCTTAATGATCTTGTTTGTTATTTTGAAGAGCCAGCATAAAAGAAAAAAAAAAACCTATTCTGGGTTTAACCAGTAATTTTTGTCATAAATTCTTAATAATCCCTAAAACTGGAGGGACAGCAGAGGGTGCCCATTACCTAAATGAGCCAAGGGGGTTGATCTACTAACCTTATAAACACACCACGAACATGTATACACCTCTGTAGTGTGTTCCCTCCCAGCATGATCTATTGGTGGAATCTAGACACCTTTTGTAGCGTGTACACACCCAGCAGGTGTGTTGTGCAAAGCCAAGCATGAATTGCAAGGTGATGTTGTGTAAATTAGCTCTACGTTGTGTTGCATGCGTTGATGAATGCAGGAATGTAAATGCATGAGCTAACCATTTTTGTCTAAACTGTGAAGCAGCATTATATATGCATCATGCGTGTATGCAACGTGCGTGTGTTTAGGTTAGTGAATCACACCCAATGTGTCAGAATACTATTCATATGACACTTCGGCTCACAGACCCGAATGGTATTTGGTAGCTCCGAATGCTATGCGGTATTTGACAGGAGTTTTCGTCAGGTTCAGGCGGTCATCGTGCGGCGGGACTTTTTTTTATTTTGGCAGGTCGGCGGGCATTGTACATTGTGATTGACGCTGGATCACATCAAAGGAGCCCCTTTTTTTTGTAATTAAAGGAATAGTCAAAAATTGGCTCTTTGGTGTTTTTTTTTCCAATTAAAAGATTTTTTCTAAAAGTGTGGTTTGTTTATTGACTTTGAATTTTAACCCTTTAGTGAATGGGAAGGGGTACAAGTATCCCTTACTCATTCACAAGGGGGGGGGCATTTGGGTGCCACCTTAAAGGGGTACCCCGATGCAAATAAGCCCCCTCGCCCGCAGAGTCCCACAACCACTGGGTCAGGGTTGTGGGGAAAAGGTCCTTAGACACCCTTCCAATGCCGAGGGCACGTGGCCTGGTAAGGCGTAGGGAGGGTGGGCGCTCGATCCCCCCCCCCTTTTCCTGCCCTGCCTGTGCTCAAATCAGGGGTCTGGTCTCTCTTTTTTTCCCCTTCTGCAGACTGCAAAAAAAAAAAGTTTTTTTCTTCTAATGTCACTTTGCTACAACGAAATTTCACACAGACTACCGCTAACGAATTTCGGAATTGTAAATTTGGATTCGTTTGCATTAATTATTTCTGTAATTCGGAAACATCTGAATCTCCAAATTTCCATTCAGAATGAAACAAATCGCACATGTCTATTGTGATGGAAGGTGTTCCTCTTTTTCATCTCAGGTTTGGAGGTATGGTCTACAGGGAAGAGGTTGGGAGCTTTGTGCCTTGGTAGCAACTACAAGCAGTCCCCGAGTTTACAAAAATCCGACTTACATACGACTCCTACTTACAAACGGAGGCTATTACTGTACAGCAGGGGTAGTTGTAATGCTACCGCGCTCGTGCTGACGAGGAGTGCGCACCTTTTTGGGTCTGGTTCATAGTACTGTATGTACATTACAGGAAGTTGGCTCGTTCAGACGAAGGGTGCCCGCCTCTTCCTCCGGGTCACTGTGAGGTTTTTATTGCTGTCTGTATCCCCATTAGAAAGATTTAATCTCACTTCCTGTCCTTGAGACAACAGGAAGTGAGAGGAAACCTACCCCAAGGAAGGGAAATTCACTCCTGTAAGAGTTATCATGGCAAAAAGGTGTCTCCACTGAAGCTTTATCACCAATCCTTGTTTCCACAACAACCCAAAATCCAATTGTCACAGGGACAAAAAGTGAGGTGAAATCTTCTGAACAGGGGCACACACAGCAAAACAAACTGTACAGGGTTAACCCTTCCCTATGCTATCTATAACAGAAAAAAAAACTTAAGTGAACTTTTTTTTATTTTGGCAGGTCGGCGGGCATTGTACATTGTGATTGACGCTGGATCACATCAAAGGAGCCCCTTTTTTTTGTAATTAAAGGAATAGTCAAAAATTGGCTCTTTGGTGTTTTTTTTTCCAATTAAAAGATTTTTTCTAAAAGTGTGGTTTGTTTATTGACTTTGAATTTTAACCCTTTAGTGAATGGGAAGGGGTACAAGTATCCCTTACTCATTCACAAGGGGGGGGGCATTTGGGTGCCACCTTAAAGGGGTACCCCGATGCAAATAAGCCCCCTCGCCCGCAGAGTCCCACAACCACTGGGTCAGGGTTGTGGGGAAAAGGTCCTTAGACACCCTTCCAATGCCGAGGGCACGTGGCCTGGTAAGGCGTAGGGAGGGTGGGCGCTCGATCGCCCCCCCCTTTTCCTGCCCTGCCTGTGCTCAAATCAGGGGTCTGGTCTCTCTTTTTTTCCCCTTCTGCAGACTGCAAAAAAAAAAAAGTTTTTTTCTTCTAATGTCACTTTGCTACAACGAAATTTCACACAGACTACCGCTAACGAATTTCGGAATTGTAAATTTGGATTCGTTTGCATTAATTATTTCTGTAATTCGGAAACATCTGAATCTCCAAATTTCCATTCAGAATGAAACAAATCGCACATGTCTATTGTGATGGAAGGTGTTCCTCTTTTTCATCTCAGGTTTGGAGGTATGGTCTACAGGGAAGAGTTTGGGAGCTTTGTGCCTTGGTAGCAACTACAAGCAGTCCCCGAGTTTACAAAAATCCGACTTACATACGACTCCTACTTACAAACGGAGGCTATTACTGTACAGCAGGGGTAGTTGTAATGCTACCGCGCTCGTGCTGACGAGGAGTGCGCACCTTTTTGGGTCTGGTTCATAGTACTGTATGTACATTACAGGAAGTTGGCTCGTTCAGACGAAGGGTGCCCGCCTCTTCCTCCGGGTCACTGTGAGGTTTTTATTGCGGTCTGTATCCCCATTAGAAAGATTTAATCTCACTTCCTGTCCTTGAGACAACAGGAAGTGAGAGGAAACCTACCCCAAGGAAGGGAAATTCACTCCTGTAAGAGTTATCATGGCAAAAAGGTGTCTCCACTGAAGCTTTATCACCAATCCTTGTTTCCACAACAACCCAAAATCCAATTGTCACAGGGACAAAAAGTGAGGTGAAATCTTCTGAACAGGGGCACACACAGCAAAACAAACTGTACAGGGTTAACCCTTCCCTATGCTATCTATAACAGAAAAAAAAACTTAAGTGACACTTAAAAAAATGTACCTGTTCCAACTTACATACAAACTTATAGATCGGGTTTCACTTGAAGAAAAGGTGGCAACCCTAACACTCTAGCGCCACAAAAAAATTTTGGGGGAGAATAGAGAGAGAGTGAGGAGAGGCAGCTAGGGGAGGGAGTAATGAGACCATCTACAGAGAACTGCAAATCCCAGCAATACATTATCCAGCAATACAAAATAATGTGAAGCTACATACTCTGTGCTGTTCTGAGTTGGCGCCCTGATGTCTTCAGGTGGCCTGGTGATTTGTGCCGGCTGTGCAACTCTCGGGTGGGCTGTGCGACACTTGGGTTTCAGGGAAAGGTCAGTAAAGTGACGCAGTGTGAGGTAAGTAAAGTGGTGCAATGCGGTCAGTAGTGTAAGATAGAAAAGGGACTTACAATGCTGATGTCCTCATGCCCTCTTCTTCCTCTCCAGGTGGTGGTGGTGGGGGGACGATCGATATTTCCACCATGTAAAGCCCCAAGCTGCCTTCTCTGCAGTTCCTGTCCAGCTCTCCTAAAATTCACAGGCAGCCAATGGCGGTGCTGCACTCTCCCTCCCAGCCAATAGCAGCTGAGGAGGGAGGAGAAAGGCACATGTGACCGCTGATGAGGCAGAGGAAAATTTCAAGTGCCAGTGTCGGCACGGCCACGGAGTGTGATGTGTCCGGGTGCCCACTGGCGGGGCACCCGTACACAACACACCAAAACCGGACTGTCCGGTTGAAAACCGGACGGGTGGCAACCCTAGTCGGCACGGCCATGGAGTGTGATGTGTCCAGGTGCCCACTGGCGGGGCACCCGTACACAACACACCAAAACCGGACTGTCCGGTTGAAAACCGGACTGTCCGGTTGAAAACCGGACTGTCCGGTTGAAAACCGGACGGGTGGCAACCCTACTTATAGACCCTATCTTGTTCGTAACCTCGGGACTGCCTGTTATTACAATGCTCAGCATAAACTTGAATGTTGTGTCTGGAATGAGTTTTGCTCTCAAAAACAACATTTCGGTCATAGATGGAGAGTAATGAAATGTACATTCCCCATTCTTCCCCATAGTCTCTTCTCTTGACTCCCTCACCTTGCAGTGCCAGGTGTTCCCGGTCACCTTCAGGTGTTCTCACTTCCTTTGCTTTCTCTATACTAGAAGATGCATTAAAATCCAATAGTAGTAAAGTTGGACTCCCTTATAATGGCTGTTACAACTAAATAAAAGGTTCTTAAAGTATATCTAAAGACATTTGTATAGTTGTTATTTTGGATAGAAAGTTGTTAAAGCCACTGTCAGTAAGGGAAATGCCCTCTTATACAGTTGTCACCAGAACAAGTGTCCCCATTGGAAGACTTCCCTTCTATTCCTGTTCTAGTAACCAGTGTAACCACTGAAGGTTTTGGATTCCCCCGGACATTCAGTCTCAATGACAGTGGTCACTAAAACACAGAGAGTAAACCTTAACAGGGATTCCATCTTCTATGTAATCCAATCATATAAAATTTGTTTTGGCTTTGGATGAATGGATACACTTTACAGTACTGTCAGCACAGGGTCACTTCTATGCAGTAACATGCCTACTAAAAGAAGAGGCAATATACTTATGTCTTCAGCATGCTGTGACTTGAAATGTATTTGTTGCTCCCCGGGACGCTGCAAGTAATCCACAATTATGCTTTGTAGAATACCCGCTCCCCCACTGCACGCTGTGTCTTCTCCCACCTGCTTTTATGTCACTACAGGACCTATGAGCCAGTGGAAGGAACCACAGCATGCAGCGGGGGTAACAGGCATTTAACCCATCCAACGAGTACTTGCTGCTGCCAATAGTCATTTGAACTAGGGATGCGCCAATACCGATACTAGTATGTACTACTTGTACTCGCCCAAATGCTCTGATGCCTGGCCCGATACTTAAGCTTCTGGTATCAGGAAGCCGAGCAGCGAGTCAGTACATGCCACCCAGTTTCCTGATTGGCCGGGTAGCTGGCTCCATGCTTCCTTGTCACTTGTGATGAGGGAGCATGGAGCTGGTTTACCAGCCAATCAGGAAGCCGGCAGCGTGTGATTACCCCCTGGCTTTCTAGCCCCACTGCAAGGGTTAGTTCTAGAAAAACCTGGAGTTCTTCTTTAAAGTAATTTGTATTTTATTTGTATTTTTATTTTATTTTGATTTTAATTCTTGATACTTATGAATGAAGCATCTATTATGGGGATAGCATCAGCTGCAATCTGGTTGAGTTTTGTTTCACGTTGTTTCCAGCTGGAGTGTTCAATCAGCTGACAGCTAGATTATATATTATCCTTATGATTAAGCACTTTGTGTGAAACACATGAAGGTTTCTTCTTTGATGTGTGTCTATCTGTGCGTGTTTGTACATCTTCACAATAAATCTTATGGTCAAACAAGACAAACAAGAGAATGAAGCCGTTTCATTTTACTGGAATTTTGCTGAATAATGATACACTATTGTAGAATTTAAGTAAAACATGTTCTGCACTTTTAATCATCCATTCTTGTTGCAGTCAATCAGCGATTAGCCTATTCACTAAGAATTAAGCACACAATTAGTCAATATAAGAACGAAAACGCAATGATCGATATGTGCAAGACACTGGCAATCAGACTGTCCACAAAATTACCTGCTGATATGGATATCAAGAACACAACTGTGGATTATCCAGAGCACAACTGTGACTATCTAGAACACAACCGGGAAACATGGACTAATCTTACTTTGTTCTACCATAAGGCTAACTTAATAAAAAAAACTGACTTAAAGGAAATAAATCATTTTATATCTCTATGACTATAAAAAAAAACATAAAGAAATCTTCTAACAATGATTATACAATTCAATATTATGGTGTTCCAACATTATGTTTTGGGGTCCTCATTATTTTGCCACAGGACAACTGTGACTGCGGACATGAGGGTGCTTGTAATGGGCAGTATCCAGGTCTGCAGCTTTTCCTTGCAGAGTGATCTTCAGACATCCCGAAAAAAGGTTTCCTTGTTCTGAATGTTCTGAAAAGGCAGAAAATTACAAGTAGTAACTAGAGACAGGAACCTAAAACTATAACATCACAATTTATAATTAGAGAATGGAACTTACAACTATAAGGCCGCGTTCACACCAGCGCGGTTCAATTGTGCGGATTTGTCCGCGCTGAGCCGCCGACATGAACAATCCCGTACATTTCTATGGGGACTGTTCATGCGATTGCATGGCTGCTTGGGATCCGAACCGCCTGCTGCCCAAAATGCTCCCTGAGCCGATTTTATTTTCTGATGCGGACTCCAAACAGATTTGAATAGAAATGTGCTGATCAGCGCGTTTTTGGGGCGTTTTTAACTGCGTTTCAGCCCTGTAACGCAAATAAAAACGCCCAAAAACGCCCGTGCTGAATCGCATCCGCCCTGGTGTGAATAGGGCCTAACATTGTATAGAAGAAATGATGGGAAGTTTCTGAAATGAGATCTGCCCACTTACGAAGGTTTTACAAAACCCAGAACATTATTTAACATGAATGATTAATAATAAAACATATTCCCGCAGCAGCAATGGATTAATGCTTTCAGCCTAAAGTCAAAATGTAGTATGATGTTGGAGCACCTGATTAATAGTTACAGTATAATATTTAACCTCAGTGTTATCTGAAAAATGCAGAGATAAATAGTCTAGATGGTTCAGTAGCCTTATCTACCTGCACATTTGTCATAGCAGAATGTCATTGCTGTATTGCTTAAAGAGTTCCTAAATAAAAAAAACAAAAATGTAACATATTGCAGATTGCCACTCCGTAGATATGGTGGCTTTATTAGTGAAATTTTTTAGGTTTCTTCCTTTATGTCCACCGGGTTATTCTGCCAGCAATGCAGCTCCTGGCTATGCTCACTCATCAATTGTATCTATTGGGAAAGCCATGGTTGCAACCCAGGCTGGACTTAAAATAAGTCCTCTTTGTTCATCTCCATTACATGGGGCAAAAATAGGGTTATTTTGCTTTTCGTTCAGCTTACAGGAAGTGACAAGGATACAACATTTCTGGCTAGATCAACAGTAGTTTCTACACTTCTGAAAATTTTCATGAAAAATTCTTAGCATTAGTAATTGCGATAATAATTTACATTTGTGGTTCTCAACTAATAGGTCGCAACGCCGTGTTCAGTGGGTCATCGCATGCCTTCCACTGCACTAGGTGAGAGGCTCCTCAGCCTCCCCCTAGCGTAGGGCTGTCAGTTCTTACACCGGGCAGCCATTCAAAAGTGTCATCCTGACGTAGGCAGGTATGGCCGCGAGGGAGCTCCATCCATACGTGCATTGCTTACAGCTCCCTCGCGTGCCCTGTAGAGGTGCCTGGACCAGGGTGACGTCACATTCTGGCTCCCGCCATCTCTACAGTGTGCACAAGGGAGCTGTACAAGCAATGCATGTATGTATGGCGCTCCGTCACAGCACAGCAGCCCACACTGGATCCCAGGCTGAGTGTCCACTCAAGTTCTCGTAAGGAAGGAGACTGGATGGATCTTTAAAAAAAAAAAACATTTTTGGAGTGTGTATCTGTGTGTGAGGATGTCTGTGAGTGTGTGAGAGTGTCTGAGTGTGTGATATTGTGCCTGTTGTTGTGTATGCATGTCAGTTTTTTTGAGGGCCCTTTCACACTAGTACAGTGTGTTAATCGCACTGTACTATGCAATCGCACCTACCACGCATTCTGGTGCGTTGCGTTGCCATTAATTTGAATCGTACCCTAAACATATCTCCCTCCCACAGTTTGATTGCCTGCACCAGAACACGCAGTACTGCAATGCCGTATGTGCGGTGCGACTTGGGTTGCGACTTAATGAAAAAGGACAAATGTGGGTCCTGATGTTACACAGGTTGAGAACTACTGATTTAAATGTTGTATGTAAATGTATTTTTACTTACAGGTGAATCAGTTATCATGTGGGAAATGTTGCAGCATTTTGTATGGGCTGTTTTCCCTGGATCTTATTTTTATTATTATTAGTGTCATATATTATTGTTTAATATTTTTGAACAATCATAAATAAAATATAATTTTTTATATAAGCAGTTGTATCACTGCAGCACTTTATTGGAAGAAACTTTTGAGCAAGAGCATCCCAGAGGATAGCTCCCTGCACCATAACCCTTCCATTTTCTATCACCCCTACAATATGCCCCTTGGATTTCCCCGACACTGCCACTCTCGTATTGGTCGAACCCACTGGTTTGTGCCACGATGAAGGCAGTCCGTAAGACCTTCATCCCCCGGGCTCTCTCCTCAGCCTTAATCTCTCAGACCGCTGACGGGTAACCCGCACTTCCATCCGGGTCTACATAACCCACTGGCAAGGTCACTGGCATCCTCGGCGCATACCCGGCTCTATCAATTCCAAGAGTCGGCCCACTGGATGTCGGTTACCCAGATTAGAAAAGTTACTAACCCGCCATTGAGGTTGTGGTGTGCCTTGCAAGTACAGTGAAAAAATGTGTGAGAAGGCAGAGCCTGCGGGACACATGTTGTCTCACTTGGTCAAGTGCCTACGAAGTCCCCTAGACCTCCTTACTTTGTCAGGCAATGGGCTGCGGACCTGGGAGTGGAGTATAGTCACGACCAGATAGACCGCATGTGACATTTTGCACTTAAAGCGTCGGTGTCAACAAAATATCAGGAAGACGGATATAAATTGATGACCAGATGGTATAGAGTCCCGAAAGCCCTACATGAGATGTATCCATCTGTACCAGATACATGTTGACGATGTGAGGAGGAGGTAGGTTCCCTATTACACATCTTCTGGGACTGTCCTAAAGTTGTACCCTTTTGGTCTCAAGTGGCCACTCTAGCCCAAAAGATCACAGGCCTGACACTGTCATTCACTCCTTTGGTGTATCTCCTCCACCTGACACCACTATCGAGAAAAGCATACAAATGCTCGCTGTTGATACACCTGCTGAACGCGGCAAGGGCGTGCATTCCAGTATTATGGAGACAATCTCGAGCACCCTCGGTGGAGATGTGGGTGCGGAGAGTGGAGGAGATTAAACTGATGGGAGGATTTGACATCCGCAATACATAAAACCCAGCATAAGTTTGTTTGCACTTGGGCTGGTATCAGTTTCGGTACTCGGCTGAGTTCCCTCAGGTCAATCCGGAATAGCGCTTCCGCAGTGGGCTCCCCATTAGGAGTGCCAACATGGTCAGGTGGGATACATTCTATGAGCTGCTAGACAGCTGCACCCGGGAACTGGGACCTATTGTCTACCCCACACCCCTGATGTCGTCTTGTCATGTCTTTTTGTTTTCCTCCACTCTCCTTCCTTCTGCATCTATTCTTTTGCTCTATCTGAGCTGACATGGAACTATCCACTCGAGTTGAGGGATAGTCTCTGTTATTTCATAGTTAAATTTAGGATCACTGTTAAGATAAAAAAGTGAAAATGCATATTGAGCTCTAGTGCAGATTAATGATTTCACCGTGATATGTGTGGACGGTAGGGCATGGCCAGGCCAGGCGTGGCTCTCAAAGTGGACTTATATATATGGTTGCATTTGACAGGCCATGAGGCCCTGATGTTTCACATGTCTGTACTGTGTTCATATGTGTGTACAAATAAAGAATTTTAAAAAGAAGGCTGTCTTGAGTAGGATTACTTGTTTAAATTAGAGGGCCTGTGTCATTATATTTATACCCCTGCACCACATAAAATGTGGAAGGAAGCCCACAGAGAACTATGAAGTCAAATAAACATCTGGGGGTGGGTGGTCATAATTTACCTGCCATGCCACCAACAGAAATGTATGCATTAGGATCCACCCATATATCTTCCAAAGCTTTGAAATCAGCAGGTGGCATGTCCATGGAGGATGTCGCCTCCTCTGTCTTCAACACAAGCTGATTTGCCTGTATTAGAACATCCACAGTGTGCCAGTGTTTGAGGCAAATACCCGGCGGGAATGTCACAGAATGTTCTAGTTTGTCCAGTAGAGAAGCTTCTAGAACCTGAGAATTAACAAGGATCATTAAAAGCAAGCAACAAATAAATATTTAACATTGATTTATAAAAAAGATAGAATTGAAAGATCCCAGCTGCCATTTCTACTACAGCTTAAAATCAGAAATTTTCTGTGCTATACACAAATATAATTTTCCCTTTATCCAGTTTTATTAGTCAGCTCAAATGCAACAGCATAGTCGTTTTTACGTTTTTATACCTGTTTCTGACTATCCAAAGTTATGGTCAATGCCGAGGTACTGCCAGCGCCATTTAGTGCCAGGAGAAGCCCACCATCCTCCAGGACTCGGAATGACAGTTGAATCGATAGATGCCAGGGTTCACGTGTATGTAACAGGAATGCTATAAGTGACCCAGAACAAATGATTACAGATCAAATTAACATATACAGAAGTAATATCAGATTCAATATGGAAACTTGGAGAACAGAAGACAAACCACAGCCTGGACTGAACATTTTTGATACAAAAAAATACATGTATTGATATAAATACAGCTATCAGGATTTTAAAATGCCCATTTAAATAGTTTCTGCATTCAGATGTAATGGTTCTCATTTATCTCCGAACGCACTAGAACACAGTCTTGATGGTGTGACAGGGCCCTGAAGTCAGGCTAGCAGTCTCTACATGCGGCACAGGGAGAAGGATTCTCCAGGGCTCCATACCTGATGTACGTCTCCCCAGTAGAGCTAGAAGGACACTGAAGAGACCAGTAACCCATGATTGATTTGTGATTGGTCTTATCAACAGAACTTGTTTTTTTTTGCCACAGCCTCAAAGGAAAAACTGTATGTATGTATGTATGTATGTATGTATTTATGTGTGTGTGACACATACATACAAGGGTAGACACCAAAGATGTCCTCCTATTCCTAGTGGTCTACTTCTTGCTAGAGAGTTGAATGGGATGTGGACAATGGATGCTGCATCCAAAAACCCTCCCACAAACACACACACAAAAAAAGTAAAATTCCTTCACTCCTGGATTTTTTGCTTGACATTTGCATTTAATGCATGATTTTCAAACACACTTGGAAATGTGTCAATCAAAATGTTTCCAATTGAAAAACTGTGAAAATGGCCCCAGTGTGTTACTTCCTGTCTGCGAAAAACAAGCTTGACCTCTCTGTAATGTTACGTTAATGGGTTTTTTCGCCGCATATTACAATAAACAATATATTGTTTACAGGTTAAAAAAAAGTTCTCCTAAGCTGAAAATGTTTTGTAAATCCATGTGTATGTGCTGTCTTTGTAGTCACAATGCATTGTTAATTATATTTTGGGGTAAATATTTGGGACAGCTTTAAAAATCACTGGAATTTGTTTTTTTAATTTGAAATTTTTAATCTTAAAAAAAAAAAAGAAATAGAAAAATATGAATCCAACTTTGCTACAATGTCAAAGTCCTATCTGTTGTGAAAAAAATATATAATTTAGTGTTGACTTCAAATGTTATAGGGCCAATTGACAACCATTGACAACGACCATGACAACACATTAAAATGTATGTCAAACCCAAAATCTTTGTTTTCTAATTCTCTTCTAGTTTTGCATAGAGTGGTGAAGAATAAGTACTCCTGCTGGTATTTACTACCTGGGGTTTACTCCTCTCAAATGAAGAGGTGTATAAACAGGTGTATATACATTGTGGTGTGCTGCCATTAGTTTTCTATGGCACCCCAGCATGCTTAACTGGACTAAACAAATGCACCTAACCCTCAGAACATTATAAAGAATACATTGCCTTACAATGCACTGGAAGCACAACGTCAGGTGCATTTTTGGCCCTTGGGTGCAGTTTTGAAGATCCAATGTCACAATAAACATTGACTTTCCCCAAAAAACTGTACACAAGCATGACTGGACCCTCAGTTACCAAAACTGTGTTCCTGTCTGGAAGTTATGAACACCTGTGCTGTTGAAGGTAGCAGAGGATCAGAGTTAAAGAACACCATAGAAGAATGAACATGACTTACAGTTAGGCTTGAAGATGGCATATCCTTGCACAGGGAAGAAAGTGCCTGGCTCTTCATTTTCAAAGCATTGCCGGTTCTCATCTGTCTCCATGGCATCATCCAGAACTTGTGTGCTCTTTTTTACCCAGGCCCAGTCCTTCATACATGCATCTAGAGCAGGATTCAACTAAAACAGTACAGCTCACATCACTGACACTGGCTGAAACAGTCTTATTTTTATATGCATGGACCACATTTATCATTATTTTATCTCTGCAAACTACATATAGGAAGGAATGTGTTGCCATTAAAAGCAAGGAAATAAAACCTTTCATATGCACATAAGGTCTTAATATATGAACCCTCCCGGGACCTGTATGTACCCACCAACGTAGACAAACTTCCTGCATTGTGTGCCTGGATCACCAAAGCTATTATTCAGGGGCCACAGTGATACTTACGTGAACAACAATGAACAGGAATTCAGCATTGGTCCTTACCCTGCATGGCTGATTGCTTGGGCTTAGTGATCCCAGTGTTATTGTGAAAGGTTAAGCGCTTTACAAAAGAACACAGCAAGATCACCCTTGGTATTGGCTGATTGCGTCAGTACCTTGAGGGATTGGGCCATTAATATTATTTAGTAGTAATCGACATTAAAGGGTGGACCATGCCATTTTTTTCTGCGCTGGAACCCTCTGTAACCCATGTCAGGAAGGAGGTGCATTTTTGAGCTGCAGCCTCACTCTTCTTGCCATACTAATCATTCTAGAGTACACCTATGTTTATATATTTAATGTCTATGTGTCTATGTGTATATTTTTCCTGATGATACTTTAACAGACCTTCTGGAAAGGGTGGTGGGTGTGGGGAGGGGGGCACACTGAACTTCAGCACACTTAAAAAGGAAGTAAAATACATGGTAGGTAAATTGCCCGGAAGTGATGTGTCCAAAAATGTTTTTTTTTTATGGCGCCTGTATATAAACGATAACTATTTTTTCTGTATGTTTGGCATCATGCCACACTTTATACAGTTTTTTAAGTCAATTATTTTTATGAATCTGTTGCAAAGTTCCTTACCTGAAGATCCTGCCAGTAAATGGACATCCTGCTTCAGACTGACAACAATTAACCACTACTTCTCAATTAGCAGGAATGTTGTCAGTCTGTTGTGTGCGTTCCTTCAGTCGGCCATTGGGCTTCACATACACTTTAAAGGATTACAAAAGGCTTCACAATTTTTACCTTAATACATTCTCTGCATTAAGGTAAAAAATGCTCATTACCTTCTTGCGTTTCCTGTCCCCCCTCACACTTACCTATCAGCGCCGCTAGTCACCACCGCCAAGCCCCGAAGCGATCCTTTGTCCTGAACTTCCTGGTTGTGAATCAAACTGTTGGGCAGAGAGGGACGCACACAGCTACTTACGGGCACTCTGGGGAACGAGCATGCACGGGTGCCTCCATAGCAGCCACTTAGCTGATGGAGGCACCCGTGCAGGGGGCAGGAGGAAGAGCTATACTCTAGAGAACGAGCAACTGAACATTTTTAATGAAAAACAACAAAGGATTTGTACAAGTACGGGCCTCCTATTTATATTTTTTAAAAATGCTACTGCCAAACATTAGAAATAGTCTATGCAGATAAATAAAGGTAGGATAACTACAAATGTGAGTACATATTACTTATTTTATGCTGTGGTCTGAACAGTGACCTCATTCCTAAAATCGACAGCATTGCTGAGAAAAATCTAGTAATAACTTTTCATATTTAGTGAATATATCTCTATAACCAGTTCATCATTTATTGTCTAGTTCAATGCTGTAGAGATCTCATGTGATTACAGTACCGGTCTGAGAAGTTGGATTTTGCTGTTTGCTGGGAGGTCACCCAGGATGATGTCCAGATTAGCATATTCCAGGGTCACAGGCTCATTCTTTACATGATGAGTTAACATGACAACAATCTCTCCATTCAATCTTACATCTATGGTGTTAATACTGCTGTCCACAGTCACCTGCAAGACAAGAGATCCACATGACTGCTCAGTAAAATCAACAAAAAGGTTTTCTGCTGGCCAGATTTTCCAGAATCCATAAATGTGCATGTAGGAACTCCCCATGCTCGCAGATTAACATAACACTGTCCACACACACACTGTGTATTGCAATAATTTTGCCTAAATGGCCAGATATTGCAGCAAGTACAAAAATGTGGATAATTTAAGGAAGAACAAGAAGTACAATAACTCATAGCAACCAGTTATGGAGTGCTTTGATTTGCCATCTAGAACTGCTCTCTAAAGTTAGCCTACAGAAGGATTATCAAGAGCGGCCTCTTTTGCTCCTAAATTTAATGTTGGAAGAACCTCTCAAATATATATATATATGCAATTTAAAAGAAAATTAGAGGAGTTTTCTACAGAGTTTAGAGTAGAGGTTTTGGCTCCAAAACCGGAGGTGAGGTCAGCAGAGGCTCCCGTGATGGCTGGAAGCACTTTGAATTCTTTCTTTATATAAAGGTAGGTATTTTTTGTTATGCAGCAGTAAAACCAACTTCGATTTATCATGGGCACCGCTGCTGACCTCCCCTCCAGTTCTTTTGCGGTCAAAATCTCCACTCCATCGCGCACTGATATCTAATAACTGCCCAGTGAATGATCATCTGGAATACCCCGACCAAAAGCGACCATCCACATAAACGCGTAAAGCCAGATATATTATCCATAAGCTTTAAATCAGGTTCCTCGATTTGCTTCTTACAACCTTGCAAATGTGAGAAATTGCACCAGAATGATCATCTTCTCTTTAAGTTTTTGTTTATTGATCTACCAACCACCACACTTAAACATTTTAGGCTTTTTCTCCCCCTCTCCTTTCTTGAAGAATCCTTGCATCTTCTACATAGTTTCTTTAGTTATAAGTTTTTAAAAATATAATTTAAAAAAAAAGTGGTTTAGTCAGGTAAATATGAAATACTGCATTTTAATATAGTGCATTCACATATGTGGTTATCAGACATATCAGATATATTGTAATATATTGTATTCAGAGCCAACAGGTGCAGCTCTAATCTCCTTTTCACATTTTGCTGATACAGCGCTAAAAAAAGCCTTTGGTTTACAGAACTTGTCATCACAGCAGTTAACCCTTATTAGAGGCTCAGTAGGAAGTTTTTAGAAGACTGCAAAGCAAGCAGCATGTGCTGTGTTGTCTCCTTAGCTCACACATACAGTTCAGGGAATTCTTTGTTACTTATTACATTTTTGTAAAATAAAGACGCAAAGTAATAAAAAGATATAAAACAGCAACATAAACTCTTAGAAATAATAAAGAAAATGACTCAAAATACTTTCCCTTTAATGTGCATGTCAATGTAGTATATAGGATACCTAACCTTCTACTGAATGAGGGCATATTGCCGGGGAAAAAGATTGAAATATACAAATTAACTACATTGGCAAAAAAAAAAAAAAAGATGTATACAGTATTGGGAAGCCTAACTAAAGATGACCTTGACTCTTGGCAGCTAAAGACCTCAGGAGACCTTTATACCTGGCCTATTATTTCCTTAATCTTTGTTAAGTCAACACTTTATTTCACAGTTCAGATTTTTTTTTATGTCATCATTTGAAATTATTTTTACCAACTGTGGGACACAGTATGTACTGTAGGATAGCCAGTTAGCTCCAAGTCACCCTGTCATGACACTAGCTGCTATTGCTGGCCTTCTTCTAAAAATGTTAGTTGCCTGGCTGTGTTTGGAGTCAGTACAATTTTAATCTCAGACCTGGAAACCTGGAACATGTATGCAATATATTCTACAGTTTAGATTTTTTCAATGAGTGTCACAATAAATGAGTGTCAGAATCTCAAATAAAGATAAGATAAACTTGTTAGGTCAGTGACCCAGAAAGCAATAAAGCCAAAGCATTTGGATGACAGCCAGGTAACAAGCCTTTTCAAAAATAATGATCAGCAATGGCAGCCTCAGTGATCCTGCCATGGTTTCATGACTAATTTCAGCACTTTTGTGGGTGTTTCATAAATCTTGTTCTGCTGTCCACTGTTACTTTAGTCTGTTGATGTGCATTGTCCACAGCTACCAGACTCCAGATGTCATTTGACCTAAGCATCACTTGCAATAACTGGGCATAATAATAAGCACTTCTGATGCTCCTGTGTGCTATTACTAATAATAATATCAGAAGTGCTCATTATCTCGATTATACCTTTGCAGTTAAATTCAGAAGCTATAGTATCCTCCAGCTCTCACCTTTTGCCATTTGCCATTGCTGACAGGTGGTCCCCACTTAGAGAGAACCATTTGACCATTGCCATTACTCATTTGTATCTCCAACCGCTGATCACGAATTCCAAGTACAAACCAGTTATTCCCACCAACACTTCCATGGAATATGATGCCTTCCGAGTCATATGTCCGGATATAAAATGAGGAGAGATTGCTGTAATCATACAAGACAGTGGTGAATCACCACAAGAACATACAATAAATGTTGTATAATAATTGCAGTATTATAGTAAATCTGTAGTCAGAATAAAACATCTGAACTAAAGCTAGAGTGCCACACCATAGCCTCTTAAAGTCCCCATACAAATACTCATTTTTTGAAAGGCAGAAGCATTGGTCATTTTGGCACATAACATTGCATTATAGTATGAATTCTGGGGTGTGCCTATCCTGATCATACCTATTCAAGTGTTGATATAACCAACCATCAAACTCTTATTTCATCTACGGTAGGTCAGAGAATTGACTGGTAAACCTGCCTAACAGCTTCAGTTTTTGCAGCCCAAAACCTCTGTGTTATGGGAAGTCGGTTACACATATTATTTAAAAGGATATGTTTTTTACCTGGTTAAGGATGACAGAGGGAATTCCAGGTGCAAGACATTCTTTGGGTCCCCATTTCCCAGATACAGGATGTGTGTGGATCTCACTGGGTTTCCAGCTAAACAAGAGTCCTGAAAAAGACCAATTCTTGTAACCTCTCTTTAAGAAACATATTTCTCTACACAGTCCTGACCAGTTTTTAAAGTGACTGAGATATGAAGAGTGTGCTTAGAGTAAAAGTTACTGTTGCCCATAGCAATCAGAATCCTTGTTTGAAAGTCTAAAATTTTGCCACTTTACACATCACTGGTTCGGCCTCACCTGGAGTATGCGGTGCAGTTTTGGGCACCGGTGCACAGAAGGGATGTCCTTGAGCTGGAGGGAGTCCAGCGAAGGGAACCAAACTCATCAAAGGGATGGAGGACCAGAGCTATGAGACACGGCTACTAAATTTAAATATGTTCACGAAGTAAGGAGAGTAAGGAGGAAGTAAGGAGATTAAGGGGGGGCATGATTTTCATGTACAAGATGTTCAATAGTCATAGCAACATTAGCAACAAACTCTTTAAGATTAATTCCGTAACAAAGACTAGAGGCCACCACCTAAAACTGGTAGTAAAAAAAAATTCAAACACAAGGGGTGAAGGGGGTTCTTCTCAGTTCGCGCGGTTAGGGTCTGGAACTCGTTGCCACAATCAGTGATTTCAGCAAATAGTGTGGAATCATTCAAGAAGCTTTTGGACGATTTCCTGAGAGACCGTAATATACGGGGGTACAGGTACTCTTAAGAATGAGATGACTCAAGGACCTATACACACACACACAATAGGTTGGACTTGATGGACATATGTCTTTATTCAACCTCAAATACTATGTAACTATTAAATATATCTAAAGCTGATCCTTTTTTTTAGTTTTGGATAGAGTTGGGAAGAGTTAAATCTCCTGTCTGGTTTTTATATTTGCTGCCTTTGCCCCACTGGGGAGATATCCCTTCATCTCTTGTAAACATAAGAGGAAGTGAAAAGACATTTCTCCAAAGTGAGGCAAATCCTCTCTTGGACAGTTGTCATCCTTGGTAGACTTTCACTCTATTCCTGTTTTGGCGACAACACACAATATTGTTGACAATAGTTTCTAAGAACAATTAATGAGTGAATCTCTGCAGTTGGGACACTGACAGCAATAAAAACCTGATAGGGGTGCAAACCCTTCTTCATTCTATTCAAAATGGAAAAAATGGCTTTAGATGCACATTCATTTCTAGATTAAAGAAAGAACAGTTGGAATCTAATTGGTTGCTATGACCAACAAAAAATCTAATTTCCCTAACACAAGCATCTCCACCAGTCACCTCACCTCCCTACATAACCTTCTGTGTAGCATCCAAGGGAAAAGGGAATGGAATACTACGGAATGACAGCTCTAAAGCTGGTCATACACTATTCCATTTTTTTTCATGCAGCCTGTGGGTTGAACGAAAAAAAAAAAAATAGAACAGATTACTCCATGAATGCTTATGAGCGTTGATCATGGAAACCCTGGGGTTCCCTTTTTAGGAAAGCTCATTACAGCTCATTGGCTGCCGGCTGTTTCGTTCACAGATTTTTCGACCGGCTCCTTTAATCAGCTGATCAAGGGATGCCGACTGAAAGGGTCCTGACAGTGGCACCCACTATGCAAATTAGCATAATACATGGCCAGCTTAAGTCTGCTGAGGCTGCTGATATCACATCCAAAATGACGGCACCAAGCAGCAATCTCAGGGCTTTTGTATGTCTACATAAGAGAGTCTTTTACAGGTAAATAACAAGCATCATACTGGTTATATACATATAATCCTATCGGAAGACTTTCATTGAAATGAATGGTCTAGCAACAGGGTCACTTTTCAACCTACAAATAGAAAATGTAAAAATACAGATTTTTTTTTTTAAATGAACACAGTCTATAGGTAGAAAGTGTGAAGGTAAATTTGAAGTCTAATTCTAAACACTTAGAGAAATTAGAAACATGTGTTGTCAGACACAGGACATATTTCTTTAAAGCTTTCATTTACAACAGCCTACTTAGGCTGAATTATACGAACTGCCATTTTTGATTTATTTCTAGAGGAACAGGATCTGGGGCTTTCATCCTGATCCTGGCAATGTATTGCATCAGCGACCTGCAACAAGCAACGCAGAACAAGACAGGTCTGGAGTTTAGATTTTTCAGACCAACCAGCTGTGTGATTGGTCTAGTCAGTGACTGACTACATAGTGAAGGCAGGATCAGGATGACAGCCCTGGAGTCTGCACCTTTTAAAGGTTCATTGGCAGATAAAACTCACATGGTTTTACCACCATGGATTTTAGTCCATAGTGCACTTGCGTGGGACACCCAAAATGCTAGATTTGCAGACTAGTCCTGAAGATCAGAGTTTGTCTCTGGTATGAAAGATATGTCCCCCAAAAATGCCTTATGGTTATAACAGGACAGGTGCACAACACACTGATGTATCATCTAAGACTTCTTTCTTTAGGTAACAATGAATGATTAGTTATACATGTTTACATTGAAATCACAAATGTTTTTATAATTCTGCTTAGATAGCATGTCAGAATTTCTTTATTTTATAACAATACAAAAGGCCAATAGGGCTGCAAACTATAGTAACTAATATATACCTTGCTATGGATCTCTGCACCTTTTCTTTTCATCCTTCTATTATATAAAACCCACAATCTGCAGAACAATCTCATCAGACTGATGCATGAAAGTTTGAGATAGCAACTTACTTTAAGATATTTAATCTGCATGAATTTGTATCTCCCCATATTATACTAAAAAAATAGTTAAATATACATTCTTCAATATTACGTAGGAATGGAGGTTTTTTGCATTAAATATTTAAAGTGACACTAAACTCAGGAGTTAAATCTTAAAAATACATTCAAGTATCTTAACATCTCTGAATTGGTGCCTACTTTTGTGGCTACTTTTGTTCCCCATGCTCCCTGTATGTGTTGTAAATTAGCCACCGCTCCAAGCCCACTACCGTGATGGACTAAAATCTCACGTTTAGTTTACTAATTTGTATTGAGATTGTAGTCCATCACAGAAGTGAGCTTGGAGGGGTGACTTCTCTACAACACACACAGGGACCATGGGGAACAAAAGTAGTCACCCTCCAGAAGGAAGGACAGTGTCAGCACCAATTCAGAGATGATTTGAGGATCTACACAAATAAGATACATTTTTGTTAATAGTTAAGGTACTTGAATGTATTTTTAAGATGTATTTCCTGAGTTTAGTGTCACTGTAACAGTTGAAAAGCTTTGTTTGTCATGAATTGGTATTTTAATTATGAATCATTAGTCATTTCTGCTTAGATTGGCTTAATTCTTTCTTCACCTTAATAGACACCTCAAAGAACCTCACAAGTATCACTAGTCCAAACTCGGAAGCTAGAGGAGCCCCATGCAATATTTGTTAATTGAGTTTTACATATAAAATGTATCTTACAACCTCCATATAGATGCTATTTTTGTAAATCATTTTTCTCTACATGTGTCTCAACCACAGAAAAGTGCAAATAAAGAATGTATTACCTGTCCCTTCTGATGCTGGCTGGAAGCAGGTGGTACACTGCCAGTAGTAGACTCCCCATAGGAAAGCAGCAACAAGATGATAGGAATGGATATACGGCTGAGAATCCTCATGTTACCGATGCAGTGAATATGAACATGTGTCACATGTTCATTATCCTTTATATAGCACGGATAGAAGGGAATCAGACCTTTTTCTCAGACCAACCTTGGCTCCAACCATAACACATTCCCAGTGTCTGCCTCCTGCAGATGTTCCAGGAGAACAGAGGAGACAAACAGTTTAACCCTTTACCAAAATGTCTTCCTGACTGCATAAGTGACAAAGAATTTCACCATAACACTGATTTTCTTTATAACTAGGTTTGATCCTGTTGTCTGCATCCATTCCTGCTGTCCCATTTTTATTTGCACTTAATATCTAGCCATGCATAGAAAGCGTAGGGCTCTGTGCATGCAAGCTATGGGGAACTGAATGCAGACATCTCCTGCCACCCCACTCTGTTCATATTGATTTAGAAGCTTTGGATGAGCAACAGGTTTATCTTATAAGACCCCTTGCCCTTATGCCCCAGTGGTGTGACAGTCAACCTGAAGTCTTTCCATTCCTTATTACTCTGCCATGGGGCATAACCAATGGTCCTTGCAGTGACCACGCACAGTCATGTTAATTCTGGCCTGCCTCCCTTGTTCCATTTTAACAATGCTGCGTGTTACTGACCTGGAGCACCTGTTATGGAACTAGGGGCCTGTGTCCCAGTTTAGGGTACCTAAAAACAGGGACTTACAATTACAGTTGTGGTTAAAAAAAAAAGGTTTGCGAGCCTTTAAAGGGAATGCATTATTATTTGCATAATGTATTTTATTTTTAAATTAGGTTCTGGAAAAAAAAAAACACCACAAAAAACAGAAGGAAAAGGACATAGATTTTTACAAAACATTTACTTTTCCTAAAGTGACATTAAACCCTCAGATTTTTTTAACATAAACCAATACTGTAATGTGTGCCTTACTGTAATCCATGGTAGTTTCCCTTCTCTTTGCTGCTCTTCCTTTTAAATCCTCATGTCTTCTCATGCTTGGGGAGAACTTCCCTTTGCAGCTGAGTGCCTCTTCCTGTAGTGCTGGCTCAGGTTGAAAACCTACACACAGACACCATATATCCATTTCAGAGACAAGGCAGTCTGCTGCAAAACAGAAGTTCTGCCCAGCATGAGAAGACAGAAGGATTTAAAAGGAAGAGCAGCAAAGAGAAGGAAAACTACCATGGATTACAGTAAGGCACACATTACAGTATTGGTTTATGTTAAAAAATCTGAGGGTTTAATGTCACTAAGTTTTTTTTCACATTATACATAACTAAGAAATTGTTTTACATAACAAGAGAAAAGGGCACCAAAATAGCAACTTTACTGCCTCATTAAACTTGTTTGCTATTTTGGCACAGTTCTTCACTCTTTGTAAAAAAACACAAACAACAAAAGCCACTGATTATCACCACGTCAAGCGAGGATATGGCAATCCTAAAAAGCTTATGTTAAATGAAAAAAACATAATCACAATAAAGCAGCCATCAACAAACCTATTCAAGAGCACCAGGTCACATGAGGACATTGTAATCACATGGCAAATTCATCTGATACCCAACCCCTATGTACCATTCAATGGCAAACACTTACCTTCATCACAAGGGGTGACTGCATTTGTTTTAATTTTTTAGGCTGTTTTTTCCGCTTTTGCTTTTTTCCAGTAACACTTTCTGACTTAGGTTCACTGTACTGCATCTATGGAGGAACAGCTTTGTCACTGCTAACTCTTTATTAGGACTACAGAACATCTACCCATCTCCATAGCATAGAGGAGGATTCTGTGTAGATCCCAGAGTTGAACTGAGCAGGGTTGATTACACTGTTTGAGATTTCAGTGCAGTGCAGAATCTGAGAGGATGAAAAAATTATTGTTTTTTAATTTATGGAACAGATATAAAAAAATGGCTTTTAATTGTATTATAAAGGGAGCAGTAAAGAGAAGTTCACTGTGAGGGTTTACCTATGCTTGGAAATTCATAAAAAGGCACAACATTTCCCAAAAGTCCAACGCCTGCCATGGCCAGTGGCTGAGGAAACACTCTTAATCCTAAACGTAGAGAACCTGCAGATACTCTCGAAATAGTGCTTCCACCTCTGGCTCCATCCATTTCCATCAGCAAAGGGTCACAGGGTCCTCAGTCACAACCTGCTTTTTATAGACAGCCTAAACAACACAAAACCAAGCAGGAGTTGAAAGAAACAACCCAAACCTGGCAGATAATCTGCCTCTGCAGCAAGCAAAGGGTACAGAACCAACGTGTTTCTGAGCATCAGCAACCCTTCTAGGAAGTTATCTAACAATGATGGTCCTTTCCCCACACCAGGTTGTTCCACTGGAAAGTCCCCAGAGCACCATGTGAGTTCTAAAGATTCACCATAATCAGTTGCATTTCTAGTTTACAGCACTAGCACTACTACAAAGACATCCATGCTGGAGGAAGATTCCACACATTGCTTTTCTGTTCCAGTGGATGAAGCAGTGGGACAGACCAGCAACTAGGCAAATGGCATTACTCTTCTATAGCATGTGATATGATCACAAGATAATAAGATTTAGGCATTTAGTTGCTTGGTCTGGACCTCATGATGAGACGTACTTTCTAATCCTGAATTATACTTCGTTTTTTTCATAGACCTTTATATTAAGTACATCCCAACAGAGCCGTAGCTAGCTCCTTTCGTGCCCTAGGCAAGAACAGAAAGTTGTGCCCCCCAACAGACCTGTGATGTTACCCGACACCACACAGCATGGCGTCATGTGATGTTGTGCACCCCACCTCCACGATGGTGGCGCGCATGTGCAGAATGCGCTGGTGGCCAATTCCAAAATAGTATAAAAATGTGTTTCAGTTGACGAAACGAATGAAAACATTTTTAGTTTCCGTTCATTTCGTCAGAAACTAATTTTTTGTATTTGCACATGTCTAATAATATGTGCGCATGAGTGTGAGTGTTGAGAAACTCATGAATGAACAGAAAGTGATGTACAGCACTTCCTGTTCATTCATAACTGGGGACACATAGTACTGTGTGTCCCCAGTTATTTACAAATACTGTAGTGGTCACCTGATCACTCCAGTGTTTGCTCTGCACAGAGGATCAGTTAGTATCAATGATATATACCGATCCTCTGCTCTGCCATCCTGAGCAGCGGGGGGTAGAGCACTGATACTTCAGGATGGCCGAGCAGTGAGGAGAGAGAGCCGCCGGCTTTCAGAACCTGGCCGAGCGGCCCTCTCTCCTTACCGCTCAACCATCCTGGATGACAGCCACCTCCTCCTCGCCCTCCCCCCCCTCCACGAGCTGCAGTGCTCCATTTCTCATCGGATTGACACTGCCTCTGCCCATACAGGCGGGGGGAGCAGCAGGGATCAGAGGAGAAGCTGGAGCCTAGCTGCACCCCCTCTCAGCTGCGCCTTAGACGAGTGCCTCACTCACCTCATGGTAGCTACTGTACTGCATCCCAAATAGAATGGACCTTAAACTCCATTAAAGGACATTTTTTTTTGCCTTGTGAACAGACTTCCAACATCTAACATGCGGACTCTACAAAGGATGATTTGCAAGCAAGGGAAAGATGAAATTGGTTGGCAAGGACAACTTGACACAGGTGCTCTGTATATTTTAATTTTTTTCTTGTGTTCATTACTAGTATATAATCTGTTTGGCTAAAAAAAAACAAAAAACACATTTTGCTGGTAAAGCCCAACTTTTTATTCTGGATAGAATAGGGAATGGTTAGACCTCATTTGTTTTTCTTTATATTCCTGCAATCTTCTAAAGTTTCTTCTTAAAATAGAAATTATTTAAATCATCACACAGATGAAGTATAAAACATTTATCAGGACTAGATTGTTTTTCATATTTCTGTTGCCAAACTTTCTTCCCAATATAAGGACAATGTATGAAAAAAGCAATATCAAGTCTTTGCCTTGACACATGGACTATCTTTAGCAACCAGCGACCATTTTCTCGCTAGTACAGATGCCCCAACATACAATGTTGAAAGGGGAGTGTACTATAATGGACTCTCTTTGACCATTACTGCTTCTTATACGACTGAAAAACAAAAAGCAGACACTTATTTCCGTCTGTGTTGCTGTTGGAAAATTTCACTCAATTCCTGTCTGATGACAGTTAGTGAGGCGCCCTGATAGGGGCTATCTGATGGAGCCCTGGATAGCAGTAAAGATCTGGTATTGGTTTTAATCCTTTCCCATGCTATCAAAAATGTTTTGGCTGGACATACACTGTAACAGCAAGGACAATGCCCCCGCACCTCTTCCTTTCAACTGAAATCTTTATCATTTACAAGAAAAACACAAGGAAGCCTTTCTTCTCCAGACACCATAAACAATTTCCTAGAAGTTGATTTGTGAAAGCTAGCCTGTTCGTTTAAATTCCACACTTATGAGAAATGGATGAACACAGAGAAACTTTGGCTGGCCCTCCGGAACCCCAATTTGTTTATATGGAGTTGTAGTGTAGTGATTAACAACTTGGACTTACTTGACCTAATCAAATTTACTACACACACTGGGAATTATTCTAAATACAGATTTCCATCAACTACAGAAGTCTTGCCAGTGACGTTCTTCTTTTATACACCAGCAATCTCTGACAGCACCTCGACTCAAATGGTGATGATTCGGTCCAAGTGCTCTTTTTTTTTTAATATAGCAGACTAAAATCTGATCACTTCAGACATTTTCAGCTCATCAGTGAAAGCTACAACTATCCAATATCTTCTCACAGCTATAAAATGGACATCAGGCTCTCACCCTCACTAATAAAGGAGAAATTTCTAAGCTCACTAAACAAAGTTCAGAGAAATACATGGTCACATGGTTTATTGTGGAGTAATACATCTTTTTGTGTACTATACAAATAACATTTACAAGTGTGTAACACAACATTGGTATTATATCAGAAAATAGCAAGTAAATTCACAATGTACAACCGGCATTGTCTAATAAAGGTTGCTTATGCATGTGACAGTATTAAACACTCAGCCTCACTATGTGC